TGATTGGTCCGGCGGCTTCTGGGATCTGTGTTTTTTGTCCCAGGTACCGCCTTACCATTCACAAAGAGCACTGCTTCTTGTGCATGCGCACTTGGGACCCGGCTGTCACGCACACTACAGCCGGGAAGACAGCGCGCCGCTGGATTCTCCGGCGTGCCCACAGACAAGGCTCGGGAAGTGCCGGCTGTGGCACGCGTGCCACGGGTTCGCCATCACTGATCTAGACCATGAATGTGACTCAACAAGACAAGGCATTTTGAACCTTATATTTGCTAACCATTTCCTTGGTTTAGGGTGAAGATCATATATGTATAAAATGTATGGTAAAGCAAAAGAAGACACAAATCCGAGGGGTGATCAGTCCATGGAGGAGGGTGGAATGATGGAGCCAAATAAAGAGCAGGAACATTCTCTTTTCATGATAGACAATCAGCCGCCCCTCACATACCGGGTAAGAGGAGACTTTATTGGAAAGGAGAGAGCAGTACGGAGGCTCCACCTAGATCCCCCATCATCTGATAAACACATAGAAACAATGGATTCAGTCAGTGTGTGTGTTTCCTACAGATGGATCCAGTCATGGGAACCCACCAGAGAGATGTCCCCGTCCTCTGTATTACCGGGATCCAAAATTGGAAGATCACAACTATGCACGCTGTTACCAGGTTGGTTGATTGAAGCATCTACAAACATGAACATGACTCAACAATGCAAGACAATGTGTGGACCCTGTAAGTTGATGTTTTCTGTGTGATCTTTTATAAATAAATCTTATATTTGCAAACCATTTTCTTGATTTAGGGTAAATATCTGATAGATCTTAAAGTTGAGGTTAGAACAGAAGAGGAGATATATGTAATGGGTGAACCTTCCATGGAAGACGGTAAATTGTTGATGCCAATTAACGAGAAGGAATTTTTCCATGTCATTATGAAGAACTGGGCACCCCGCACATCACCAGGTAAGAGGAGACTTCATTGTAAAGGAGAGAGCAGTACGGAGGATCCACCTAGATCCCCCGTCATCTGATAAACACATAGAAACAATGGATTCAGTCAGTGTTTGTGTTTCCTACAGATGGATCCAGTCATGGGAACCCACCAGAGAGATGTCCCCGTCCTCTGTATTCCTGGAATTCAACACAGGAAGGTCACACCGTTCCTCACCATCATCAAGTAGATGGATCCAGCAATAGAAACCCATCAGAGAGATCCCCCTGCCTTCTGTATTCCTGGAATTCAACACATAAAGGTCATACCATCCCTCACTATCATCAGGTAGATGGATCCAGTAATGGGAACCCACCAGAGAGATGTCCCCGTCCTCTGTATTCTCAGGATTCAGCACAGGAAGGTCACACCATCCCTCACCATCATCAGGTAGATGGATCCAGTAATGGAAACCCATCAGAGAGATGTCCCCGTCCTCTGTATTCCCGGGATTCCACACGGGAAGGTCACATCATCCCTCACCATCATCAGGTAGATGGATCCAGTAATGGAAACCCATCAGAGAGATGTCCCCGTCCTCTGTATTCCCGGGATTCCACACAGGAAGGTCACACCATCCCCCACCATTATCAGGTAGATGGATCCAGTAATGAGAACCCATCAGAGAGATGTCCCCGTCCTCTGTATTCCTGGGATTCCACAGAGGAAGGTCACACCATCCCCCACCATCATCAGGTAGATGGATCCAGTAATGGGAACCCACCAGAGAGATGTCCCCGTCCTCTGTATTCCCCGGATTCCACACAGGAAGTTCACATCATCCCTCATCATCATCAGGTAGATGGATCCAGTAATGGGAGCCCACCAGAGAGATGTCCCCGTCCTCTTTACTCCCAGGATCCCACAATGGAAGACCACAGCTATGCACAACGTTATCAGGTAGGTGGAACAGAATATCTGGACTATTTATGGTCCTTCTCAGATGAAGATGGTCCTTCTCTTTCTGAAGATTCTAAGACATTCTTTTTAAATATTTTGTTATGGAAGTGTGAAGATCCGATGACTGTGAATGTTGGGAGAGAAGCAGAAGAAGAAGCAGAGATTAATATGAGTGACGATCAAAAGTCAACAGTGGAAACTGAGATGATGGTGACAGAAAATGAGGCAAGGTTTCTTCTGGATGACACTGAAGGTGATTGCAAATGTTATATGGAGCATCGATTTATATTTCTTTTTTTGCTGCTGCAGGAATGATCTTCTTTTTAAATTTACATCTGTCCAACTTGGTTCCTTCTAACACTTCCCTTCTCACATCCTGAAGGCACTGGAGATGCAGAACTTCACTGTAGTACATACAGTCAGCGCTGGTGTCCTCCAAGTGACTTGCCCTCTATATATTGAACACAGCGTGTTGCCACCATTGAGAGGATATCTTGTATTTTTTCAATGACTACAAGGCGTTCTCTGATTGGATGTGACATCATCTGTCCCTCCTCTCTGCCTCGTCCAATGTGAGAAGACCTTGTATTCATTTAAAAAAGAAATACAAGATGTAAAGTATGTTGTTTGTCATTGACTACAGTCTTGGTAGTTGCCTGGCCAGTTCAGTTTATTGGAAAGAGCAGAAAGAGGGTCTACCTAGGTCTTTGCCCACAGATGGGGGGCCACCTACATCGTCATCATCCCCCATATCTGTTTCCCCACAGATGGAACCAGTAACAGAAACCCACCAGAGAGATGTCCTTGTCCTCTGTATTCCCGGGATTCCACACAGGAAGGTCCCACCATCCCCCACCATCATCAGGTAGATGGATCCAGTAACAGAAATACGCCAGAGAGATGTCCCCGTCCTCTGTTTTCCCAGCATTCCACACAGGACGGTCACACCATCCCTCACCATCATCAGGTAGGTGGCACTGGGCACGTACGAAAGTGATCCCATACTCTGAAAGATAGCATTCTTCTCTGTACGAGGGACGTTCCAGTCAAACCGAGACTTTTGAGTTTATATAATAAAAGAACAAATTTCAAGGAGTGGAAACTGCATTTATTTTTCGACACCCTCCCCTGCTACATTTATACACTTACCCCAGCGTTTAACTAATGCCTGAAAAGCTTAGTTATAGAAAGACTTCTCAGTAGGCCTGAACCATCCTAGGACAGCCGGCTTCACTTCCTCATCATTGTGTTGACCGTTCCCACAGAAAGCGTCATCACTTGTGCAATTTCACGGCAAGTTAGGCACAAAATTGACTGCTTTGGGCTGAGAACCACCACGGCCGGGATGGTCCCTGACAGGTGTTTGGTCATCTTTGAAATGTTTACACCATTGAGATGTCTTACTGTGGATGAGAGTCTCATCAACGTACTTGAAGTCTTCTGTAGATATCCACGAGTTTCACACCTTTGTTCACAAGAAACCATTGATCAGTGATAGGACACACTTGGCACCTACTACTACGTGTCGTACCACCACGCTAGCATCCCTTTTTATACCTGAAAAGTCCCAATTTGACTTGAACGCCCCTCGTATATTAAAGTTCACAGTCTAAGGGTTTTATTTTCTGCCATTGTATTGGTTAAGGATGAAGAATTGATTAAGACGGCAACTGTGGTTGAAAGGAACGAAGAAGAGACCTACATGAGGGGGGATCAGCAAACCACAGAGGGGGCTGGAATGATGGACGTAGTTACAGAGAAGGAATCTTCTCCAGATATTGGCTCAGGTAAATATTCATCACTAGATGCGTTTTAACCTTTCACTTCTAGGAATCTTAGATATGATGACTGAGTGAAGGTGATGGGAAGTCAGCAGATCTTTACAACACCAGGTCCGTGAAAGTTTCTTTTTTTTTTTTTTTAAATGGTAGACCAGGAAAGGGGAGATGCCAGCTTGTCTTTGAAGAAGGCCAAAGTCTCCCACTTACATGTCATGTTAGTCTGCCGCTCATCCTAGTAGCTATTCAGTGGCAAAAGACTTGAGTGCGTACCTAAGTGAGGAAGATACTGTCCACCATGTAAGTCCATCTCCATTCCTCAATAGAACGTCATATTCCCAACCAATGAAGAGATACTGGGGACATCATATAAAAGGGCCATCTCCATTCCTCAATATAACGTCATGTTCCCAACAAAGTGAGGAGATACTGGACACCATATGAAAGGTCCATCTCCATTCCTCAATATAATGTCATGTTCCTAACAAATGAGGAGGAGATACTGGACACCATATGAAAGGTCCATTTCCATTCCTCAATATAAATGTCATGTTCCTAACAAATGAGGAGGAGATACTGGACACCATATGAAAGGTCCATCTCCATTCCTCAATATAAACGTCCTGTTCCCAACAAATGAGGAGGAGATACTGGACACCATATGAAAGGTCCATCTCCATTCCTCAATATAATGTCCTGTTCCCAACAAATGAGGAGGAGATACTGGACACCATATGAAAGGTCCATCTCCATTCCTCAATATAACGTCATGTTCCTAACAAATGAGGAGGAGATACTGGACACCATATGAAAGGTCCATCTCCATTACTCAATATAACGTCATGTTCCAACAAATGAGGAGGAGATACTGGACACCATATGAAAGGTCCATCTCCAGTCCTCAATATAACGTCACGTTCCCAACAAATGAGGAGGAGATACTGTTTGGTGTTGTAATTGCTCCCAACTCAATGCTGGAGATAGACATGGCGCTCACAACAGGAATATCTCAGAGGTTTCTTTGATTTTTCCTCCAGGTTATCATGCAGAAGATGATGGCATTGCACAGTGTTCTCCAGAAGCGGATCCCATTGCTGATGACACACATCACAGACCTCACCATTTGGAGGGATCAATGGATCTGTCTAATCCTGAGGAATCTTCTGATAAATCACAGTCTAGGACTTCACATAGCCATCTAATATCTGAGAGTGCAGTTGGTTCAGGAGATCCATCTAGGAGAGTTCACAATGTTGAGCGTCCTTTTTCCTGTCCAGAGTGTGGAAAATGTTTCACTGAGAAAAGATACCTTATTATACACCAAAGAATTCACATGGGCGAACGCCCTTTTTCCTGTTCAGACTGCGGCAAATGCTTTGCTCGGAAAAAAAAGCTGAACCTACACCAGAAAAGTCACAGAAGCAACCATATATTTACATGTTTAGAGTGTGGGAAATGTTTCATCCACAAAGTGAATCTTCTGAGACACCAGAAAATTCATACGAATGAACATCTTTTCGCCTGTTCGGAGTGCGGTAAATGCTTCACTCGTAAAGGATATCTCCTTGACCACCTCAGAATTCACACGGGGGAGCGTCCTTTTTCGTGTTCAGAGTGCGGGAAATGTTTCATTGATAAAAAAGCACTTCTTACCCACCAGAGACATCACACAGGCGAGCGCCCCTTCTCCTGTACGGAGTGCGGGAAGAGTTTCATTCACAAAGAATACCTCCACAACCACTGCAAAATTCACACGGCAGAGCGTCGCTTCTCATGCACAGAGTGCGGGAAAAGTTTCCTCTACAACAGAGACCTTATCATACACCGGAGAGTACACACGGGTGAGCGTCCCTTTTTATGCGCAGAGTGCGGAAAATGTTTTCCCTACAAAAGCGGACTCGTTGTACATCAGAAAGTTCACACAGGCGAGCGCCCTTATTCATGCGCTGAGTGCGGAAAATGTTTCAATGAGAAAGGAGGCCTCCTTAAACATCTGAGAATTCACATGGGGTGAACGTCCCTTTTTTAAATGGAGTGCGGGAAATTTTTCACGCAAAAAAAAAAAAGTCACGCTATTCATATACACCAGCTAGCCTTTCCAGAATTCACACTCATATACGGGTTCTTTTTCATGTTCAGAGTGTGGGAAATGTGTTGAAAATGAAAGATATTTGATGAGACGAGTGCTCGCCTTGACTGATCCTGTTGTAAATGTTCAATGGCGGCAAATGTACATCTTGTACCAGAGACGGCTAAGGTGTATGTGAACCGTAACAGTGAAATTCTTTTATGTTTTTCCTCTTTTTATTCTGTTAAATGAGCCATTGGAAGCATTTTGTTTTATCTGTTTGATCCGTGTAAATAAATACACTGCCTGTGCCGCAGTCCGAACAATCGCATCGTTCTCTGTGAACTACAGAAAAATTTCCAGCATATCAACAGAAAGGCCTCGTTTACACTGCCTTTGTATGGCTCTGCATAGCAGCATGCTCACAGTGAAACGCACACAGGTAACCCTTTGATCACCCCTCCCCCTCATGTTAACCCCTTCCTGCCCAGTGCCATTAGTACAGTGTCATGGCTTTTTATTAGCACTGATCACTGTATTAGTGTCACTGGGAATGTCAGTGACACCAAGTTAGCTCCCCCCCCCCCCCCCCCCCCCCCCCCCCCCAGTGTCAGAATGCCCGCCGCAGTCCCGCTATAATTACTAGTAAAAATTTAAAAAAATAGCACCATTTGTAGATGCTATAAATTACCGATTCATTTACACATAGCTCAATTCGTGGGGAAAAAAAAAAGACGTAAATGTATTTTGGGTGCATGACCGCGCAATTGTCGGTTAAAGTAATGCAGAGTCGTAACGTAAAAAATGGCCTGATCAGGAAGGAGGGCAAGGGAGCTCTGAATGGCAATCAAAGCCCCTGTCTCTGTTGGAGATCAGCAGAGCTCGGGGTTACTAATGAGGGTTTTTAATCAGTGGGGGATCAGCAGAGCTGGGGGTTACTACTGAGAGGGGATCAGCAGAGCTGGGGTTACTACTGAGCGGGGGGATCAGCAGAGCTGGGGTTACTACTGAGCGGGGGATCAGCAGAGCTGGGGTTACTACTGAGCGGGGGATCAGCAGAGCTGGGGTTACTACTGAGCGGGGGATCAGCAGAGCTGGGGGTTACTACTGAGCGGGGGATCAGCAGAGCTGGGGGTTACTACTGAGCGGGGGATCAGCAGAGCTGGGGGTTACTACTGAGCGGGGGATCAGCAGAGCTGGAGATTACTACTGAGCGGGGGATCAGCAGAGCTGGGGGTACTACTGAGAGGGGGATCAGCAGAGCTGGAGATTACTACTGAGTGGGGGATCAGCAGAGTAGGGGGTTACTAATGAGCGGAGGATCAGCAGAGCTCGAGGTTACTACTGAGCGGGGGATCAGCAGAGCTGGGGATTACTAATGAATGGGGGATTAGCAGAGCTGTGGGTTACTACTGAGCAGGGGATAAGCAGAGCTGGAGATTACTACTGAGTGGGGAATCAGCAGAGCTGGGGTTACTACTGAGCAGGGGATCAGCAGAGCTGGGGGTTACTACTGAGCAGGGGATCAGCAGAGCTGGAGATTACTACTGAGTGAGGGATCAGCAGAGCTGGGGGTACTACTGAGAGGGGAATCATCAGAGCTGGAGATTACTACTGAGTGGGGGATCAGCAGAGCAGGGGGTTACTAATGAGCGGGAGATCAGCAGAGCTCGGGGTTCCTACTGAGCAGGGGATCAGCAGAGCTGGGGGTTACTAATGAATGGGGGATTAGCAGAGCTGTGGGTTACTACTAAGCGGGAGATAAGCAGAGCTCAGGGTTACTACTGAGCGGGGGATCAGCAAAGCTGGGGGTTACTCCTGAGCGGGGGATCGGTGAAGCTGAGGGTTCCTACTGAGCGGGGGATGAGCAGAGCTAAGGGTTACTACTGAGTGGGGGATCAGCAGATCTGGGGGTTACTACTGAGCGGGGGATCAGCAGATCTGGGGGTTACTACTGAGCGGGGGATCAGCAGAGCTGGGGGTTACTCCTGAGTGGGTGATCGGTGAAGCTGAGGGTTGCTACTGAGTGGGGGATGAGCAGAGCTAAGGGTTACTACTGAGTGGGGGATCAGCAGATCTGGGGGTTACTACTGAGCGGGGGATCAGCAGAGCTGGGGGTTACTCCTGAGCGGGGGATCAGTGAAGCTGAGGGTTGCTACTGAGCGGGGGATCAGCAGAGCTGGGGGTTACTAATGAATGGGGGATTTGCAGAGCTGTGGGTTACTACTAAGCGGGGGATAAGCAGAGCTCAGGGTTACTACTGAGCGGGGGTTCAGCAGAGCTGGGGGTTACTCCTGAGTGGGGGATCGGTGAAGCTGAGGGTTCCTACTGAGCGGGGGATGAGCAGAGCTAAGGGTTACTACTGAGTGGGGGATCAGCAAATCTGGAGGTTACTACTGAGCGGGGGATCAGCAGATCTGGGGGTTACTACTGAGCGGGGGATCGGAGCTGGGGGACTACTCAGCAGAGCTGGGGGGTTACTACTGAGTGGTGGATCAGCAGAGCTGGGGGTTACTCCTGAGCGGGGGATTGGTGAAGCTGAGGGTTGCTACTGAGCGGGGGATGAGCAGAGCTGGGGTTACTACTGAGCGGGGGTCAACAGGGGGTTACTACTGAGCGGGGGATCAGATCTGGGGGTTACTACTGAGCGGGGGATCAGCAGAGCTGGGGGTTACTCCTGAGCGGGGGATCAGTGAAGCTGAGGGTTGCTACTGAGCGGGGGATGAGCAGAGCTAAGGGTTACTACTGAGCAAGGGATCAACAGAGCTGGGGGTTACTCCTGAGCGGGGGATCAGTGAAGCTGAGGGTGTACTACTGAGCGGGGGATCTGCTGAACGAGGGTACTAATAAGCTGGAGCTGAATGGAAGTATTTGAGCTGGGGTTCTACTGGACCCCTTTAAAACAAATAGAAAATCAACACACACGGGGCATTTGCCACACCTCAATAAAGCTTCAAAAAAGCCTCACTGAAGTATCGAAAACACATCAACAAAGCGCGTTGAAGCGGTAAGCACTTTAATGTTTATTGAAGTCGAAGCGAGTGTAAAGGAGCCCAATGTTTGTTTCTGGTGGGATTACCAGTTGAACTATAAAGGGGAAAGAAACAGACTGGTACTTTTCAGAAGATCACATTTTTGTTCTTGGGTTCAGATACCATTTCAGTTACAGGTGGAGTCTGTTGGTTCAGTGTTCAGATCTGCCTGCTGCAGTTCTTGCCTCTCACGGATAGTGGAAGACCCTTCTAATGGGAGCGAAAGGTGCAGATATTCAAGACATGCGTGTTCCCGCAAGCTTTAGTAACTCCATCAACCCCGGTGAACTGAGAAAAATTGCGGGTGTAGAAATGCAAGCAAGGGAAACGTCCTAGCTGCCGCACCCCATACAACCCTTCATACTCCATTGGTAGACAGTTCTATCTGAGCAACGCCCCCTGACTAGCTTCGCCCCACCCCAGAGCTCCGTGACTAAGCCCTGGGGCTGGGCGAAATGCGTCGTAGCAGGCGTGGCTCAGGCAGAGCTGGCCCAGGCTGCTACTTCCATTAACCCCAATTTATCCGGGGGGCAGGAAAGCCAAGGGGTGTGCTCTACACACTTTGAAGTATTGAGGGCATTAAAATATCAAAGTTTGATTGTTATTGGCCTACGTGGATTACATTACAGTGGTATGGACCTTAAAACAGAGTTGTGGCCCCACCCTCACAGATGGCCCCATAGAACTCAGCTTCTTGTAATTCATGGCCAGATATGACCACATGTGGACAATGAACTGACAACTGATGGGTAACAAAGGTGGGAACACATTGACATGACAATACAAAGTGTACATACCATAAGATCCTTTTCTTGGAGTCCTTTGAGGGGCACAGAAATTCAGATACAGTCAAGTTATATTGTCACCTACAGGAGGTTTGGACACTGCTAAATAATTGTAGGCCAGATTCTAGTATAGACCTTCCCTATTCAGCATGCCTCGGCTTTGTAAAAAAGCAGTACTAAGGGCATGAAGAGAACCTAGAGGTGTGGGACCTCTGCTCTTCAATAGACTCCAAGAAAAATATTTTATGATGAATAGAAAGTCCTCTTTTCATTCTTATCCATTGAGGGACACAGGAGATCAAATACAGTTTGGACGTCCAAAAAGCATTCCAACTGACAGTTGGGCCACAGCTAAAAAAAAAATTCCTAACAAGCCTTACTAGAAGGACTAGGGAATGTCTGTAGACCAAAAGCTTCCTGAAGAACCAATGCCCAAATCTGAATGAATAAGGTGAGCATTCCAACTGACAGGTAGGCCACTAGGGAACGTCTGTAGTCCAAAAACTTCCTGAAGAACCAATGCTCAAATCTGAATGAATGAGGTGAGCATTCCAACTGACAGGTGGGCCACTAGGGAACGTCTGTAGTCCAAAAGCTTCCTGAAGAACCAATGCCCAAATCTGAATGAATAAGGTGAGCATTCCAACTGACAGGTAGGGAACCACTAGGGAACCAATGTCTGTAGTCCAATGTCTGTAGTCCAAAAGATTCCTGAAGAACCAATGCCCAAATCTGAACGAATGAGGTGAGCATTCCAACTGACAGGTGGGCCACTAGGGAACGTCTGTAGTCCAAAAGCTTCCTGAAGAACCAAATGCCCAAATCTGAATGAATAAGGTGAGCATTCCAACTGATAGGTGGGCCAACTAGGGAATGTCTGTAGTCCAAAAATTTCCTGAAGAACCAATGCTCAAATCTGAATGAATGAGGTGAGCATTCCAACTGAATGGTGGGCCACTAGGGAACGTCTGTAGTCCAAAAGCTTCCTGAAGAACCAATGCCCAAATCTGAATGAATAAGGTGAGCATGCCAACTGACAGGTGGGCCATTAGGGAACGTCTGTAGTCCAAAAACTTCCTGAAGAACCAATGCTCAAATCCGAATGAAT